AAGCTATTTGAATTTAACTGAGCAGATAGACTGGCATCCTGTGATGGACTTGCAACCTGTCCAGGGTGTACCCCGCCTCTCGCACAACGACTGCTGGATATGAGCCCCAGTGACTCCTGTAATCTGGAAAGGAAGAAGTGCGTGAAAATAATGGATGGATGTTGAATAATGCTTCCAGAAGACAGTGATGAACTAGAATGGACTTTACAGTTGAAATACCATAATTTTAAATTGTGCTTAAGTTAAAATGTGTAAATTACTGCATACTTTTTACTCTTTGTCTATATTATGCAATTTAAAACAGTAGCAGACAGAATCAGCAAGAAAGGCTACCACATGTCAGCCGTTTCATTGAAAACCTGAGCCATGACAGTGCTGGTAAATTTACCCATGATCACCTGCTGTTGCATTAGTGGTTTGCAGACCTGAGACGTGAGATGTGGTCATATATAGTGGAATGTCAGAGAACCTGACGGTGCTCTGAGAAATGTAGTTATCTGGGGGAGGAGAGATCAAGTTCTTAACCTCTTTTCTGACCTTCTGGTAAAGACAACAAGCAGCTCCTGATCTCTGCGGCATGCCGCCTCAAGATCGCTGCGTCTTTGTGTGTATGTGTGAGTGAGAGCCAGAGAAAGACAGATGTGGAAATTAGGATTCTGCTTTAACAAATAAGCATCTACTGTAAGAACTTCAGCGTGGTTGGGATGCATGTTTCCCTAAAAGCACTGAGGTGCTTCTTTAACGATTGCATCGCATATCTAACCCTCTGCATTTCAGACTTGTATGTTGTGAAGTGCAGCTTTCAATCTTGAGTCTCGAGTACACTTATCACCTGCCACCAAAAGGTAAGATTTTTGCCTATACTTTTGTGTTTTCGGTAGTCTGTCTTGTTAGCAAAATATCTTTAGAAAAATCACTACAGAAAGTCACAGAAAGTAATCAGTGGGTGTACATATACACACGTGATTAACCTTTGGAGTCAATTTGATTCAAGACGTGCACCACAACCAAACGCCTTTGCAAACAGAAAAGGATTTAACTCGTTCAATTTTACAGATACTGAGCTCAAATTTGATCTGGTAGCAGCTGAGATCTCCTGAACATACTCTGAGTGTGAAAAGATTGCATGAGATCTTTCTATATTGTGCAAGATTGTACAAAACTATTTTTTCAAGGTGGGATCAAAGTGTCTATCTGCATTACTCTACATAGACTTTTTTAGTTTAAAATTTGGAACAAAAAATGGAGGGCAACGTGTTTGTTCATGGATTGCTAGGCCTTTAACAGTAAGTTGTCATGCAAAACATTTCCTGATAAGTATACAGAAACTACAACATGTCCACCAGCAGAACAGTATCAACTGGGCTACAGGTTCGATGCAATGTTTATATCTTCTCCAAGATTTCTTTTTATTACCAGCTATGCAACTCTCCTCACAACAACAAAAACAAGCTGCCGTTTCACACAGCAGTGCAATCCTTTACCGAGAGAGGCTTTTAATGGCCTCTCCAGATTGAGACCTAATTAGCTGTTAATCATTTAAGGCTCATAACCAGAGTGGAGACAGCAGGCGTGTGTGTGTTCGTTAGCAAGTGCGCATTAGCGTGTGTTTGCGCATTCTGTCCTGTTGTCTATCCTGATGTTGTGAAGCCATTAGCAGCAGAATTGCTAAAGAGAGCCAAACAGCCCATTAACTCCTTCACTCTTCCTCTCCTCCCTCCGCCGCGCTCATCTCTTTCCCAATAGCACCACAGTTGCCAGCTGACACCCTCTAATGTCAGCTATCTGTCATGACCAGAGACCTGTCCACCCACACATCCCTCCCCGGCCAAGTTTGTTTATAATCTGGAATACTCTACGACTCAGTCTCTTAAAAGGGTAAAAATAAAGTGTAGCGAGGTAGAGAATTTAAATTGGGCAAATTCTAAAAATAAATTTAAAACAAATTGTAAAACTTTTCATGTGTTGGCACTCACTCTTAGTCTAATGAATAATATATATATATATATATATATATATATATATATATATATATATGAGCCTGACAATATATCAGTAGGGCTGATATAGGCGTTTGGGGACATATCATATCGATGATAACTGTCCCATTATGCGCTGACAAACATTGGGAACGATTCGTGTCCTTACTTGCCAAAGGCGTAATTGCACAAAGTATCCGGCAGAGGGAACATGCGGACTACTTTCAAGTCATGGCCGTTCACTTTAACTTTCACTTTCAGCACAGCAGAAGCAGGGAACAATAATGTCTAACGTATTTTGCTGAACAGGGCATGGTAAGTTTAATGTAACTGATCTGTAAAATAAAATACAAATCTACAATAATAAATTCTCTTCAATCCTCCAACCTACTTCTCATTACTCAAGTTAGCAAGCTAACATTTACATTACCTAGCATAGGCTACTGCATTGTAAAACTTTAGCCAGAACAATATATCCAACATAGCGTTAAATTTATATCAGTGATAGTAATGTTAACTTTGTCGCCCTCAATGAAATTCAATGTTTGTCTGAAATCTTTACTTTGCTGGAAAAAAACAACAAAAAAACGCTGCTGCGGTCAATGCTAATTAGGCCCTCAACATAAATGACTGTGTAAACAATGAACAGGGAAGTTAGTTTTTATGTTTAAATTATATTTGATTTGATAACTTTATGGTGACTAGTGGAAGATAGAAAATGTGAACGCACATTAGGAAGACTGTTTTGAGACCTCAAGTGTTAAAACAGGTCTAAAAGTAGCTGTTTACTTACTGTATTGTTCAGACTACAAGGAGCACCAGATTATAAGGCGCAATATCAACGAAGGGGTATGTTTTCATACATAAGTTGCACCGGATTATAAGGTTCAAGGATTCAAGGTCCTTTATTCGTCATTCTTTGTTTTGTTAATTATTTTTTATTAGTTTGATTTTGTTTCTTTATTCTTCATTTGTCGTTCTTTATTTATCATGTCATATTGTCATAAGGCACATTAAGCAAAACAAACATTTTGATAGATTGTTGAGCGCTGTGTACCACATAAAATCGGTTTTAGGTCAGCAAGCACAACTAGATTTAATACATAAGGCGCACCAGATTATAAGGCTCACTGTTGATTTTTGAGAAAATTTAAGGATTTTAAGTGCACCTTATAGTCCAAAAAATACAGTAGGTTCTTGGAGGTGGTTAAAGAAATTATTATTTTTTTTTTTCAGCTATTATTTCGTCTATTGGCGTTAGCCTTCTCCTCCCCTCCTTCTCGGCGATAGCCAAAAGTTCCATATCGGTCGGGCTCTACATCTATATATTTTTACTATACAGTATTATAAACTCACTGTGGCCTCATACTATATGCGCATGTGATTGGGAACCTTATCCACACAAAATAAACCCATTGTTCTTCTGAGCTTGTTATGTTTCTGATCAACTACACCTGCCCGATGAGCTCAGCTGAACGCTAGATTACATCAAAAGTGTTATGAGATTTTAGACTAAAACAATGGTAAAATATAAAAATAAACATAGAAAAAGGCACATTTGCAACTATAGAATATACTTCATTCTTAATGGGTGTTTTTTTTATATATTTTTTAAAATAAAAATATTTATATTTTAACAAAATTAATAATTTCTGTAAATTAATGTGTTGCTTTTTTAAATATCCTTATATGCCAGTCAACAGGCAAAAATCCAAGGAAGTACAAAATAAAAAATAAAAATTAAACTATATTTTTTTATGTGAATACATGATTAATGAATATATTTCAACAACCATCAAACTAATAATTATTACACAACTTCCTAACTTCTCCACAGAGAGTGTAAAGCGTGTTTGTCAGTACAAAAAAACCCAAAAGTGTTCAGTGCCTTAAACACAGCAAGCCATGACACATCCACACTGACAGCCGTGCAGAGGCAGACTGCATGATTAATGACAGAGGCCTGGTCATATCAGGAGGCTGCTTAACAAAACCCAACAAACAACTGCACAGGTCAACGAGCTCACCCAGTCACATCAGCACCCATTACTGCCGTGGGCACACACTAAACTGCTGCTGCTGCCCAAAAAACTTCAATGAAGAGGAAATCAGAAATTTGAAACCTTAACAACAAAGTTCATGCTCAATAATCCTGAACCTTAACCTTTTTATACTTTCAGGTCGTTTTCACACCTGATAGTCCGGTAGACTCGATTCGGGACCAATACTCATGAGCTTTTGTTTACATTTGAGCTGGTGAGTTTGCATTCACACTGCACTGTGCAGTCGAGTCAACCTGTTGAACCAACCTATTCCCCCGCTCGCCTGTGGGGGCGCTGCAACTAGAACTACTGAAAAACGACACAAAAACCTCTGAAGACACGTCTTCTTCCTCTTCTGTAAATAAAAATAAAAACGAAGTGGCATCAAGTTTTAGCAGTTTTATGAGTTATATTTTGTCATTTTTCAAAAATGGACTTAGCATGAGCAGAAGATGAGACAGAAGACCATGGAGAATATTGTTTTTCACACAAGGCAGCTGACGGCTCCATATAAGGTAAGAGAAATGTGTGTTTGTTTACCCTGCGGAGCGGGGCCCGGTCTGTTTACATTCACACTGCACTCGAACCGTGCTGGAGTTCGCTTCTACCGGACCGAGACCTAGGTTTTAGCCCGGGCCAGAGTTCGCCTTTTTGTTCCGTGACAGAGTCCGATGGTGTGTTCACACCTCCCTAAACGAACTGGACTTTCTAGGAAAACGAGCTAGAGTTCGATTAAAGCGGACTAAACAGGGCTGGTGTGAATGCACCCTTAAAAGACTTTCCATCACAAACAGGACCAACCTGCAATAAAAGTGTTAAAACAACTTAATTCAAAAAAAGACTAAAAATAATGGGCAACTTTAACAAAAAAAAACAGGTAATTCTATCCCAGGCTTTATAATTTTCAAAAGCAAAGCAAGGCAATTTGACTTTGTTGCCTCAGTTTGCCCTGCCTAGCATGCGTGTGCAAGTGTCTTACCTGTCGATTAATCTGCACAAACTCTTCTGGGTTTTTGGCCCAAGGTGGAAGTTCCACATCAGACACCACAGTGCCATCTTCCATCACTCCCAGGTTGTAACTGTTGGCGTTTACAAACATCTCAGGCAGATAGAAGAACTCTGGAATGAGTTCCTGAGACGAGAGAGCAGAGTCACACTAGAGTGAGATTACGCAGCGCTTACTTTCAACACAACAAACAAGTCAATGAGCCTGTCTCTGAACTGAGTCACAACCTGAAACAGTTATTGTAAAGAATACATATACCACATTTGAGATGAGATAATGTTTTTTTTTTTTTTTGTAAAGGTTTTCATTAGTTGTCAGTTATAATCATTAACTTTGAAATAAATGAACATTTGAAATATATCAGTTTGTGTGTAATGAATGACTATAATATATAAGTTTCACTTTTTGAATGGAATTACTGAAATAAATTGACTTTTTCATGATATTCTAATTTTATGACCAGCACCTGCACTTGGCCCAAAAAAACTTGCCATAAAAAAAAAAAGGCACACATTTATATTTTGTTGGACTGCCTTTTTGATTAGGACATGCATTCACTGTGGCATTGTGTCGATAAGCTTCTGCAATGTCACAAGATCCATTTCATCCAGTGTTGCATACATTTTTCACCAAGATCTTGCATTGATGACTTGGCATTAGGCATGATGGGTGCATCACTTCACCTGCCTCTCTTCTTACCCTGATGTGTCTATCACTCTGGAACAGGGTAAATCTGGACTCATCAGACCACATGACCTTCTTCCATTGCTCCAGAGTCCAATCTTTATGCTCCCTAACAAATTGAAGCCTTTTTTTTTGCCAGTTAGCCTCACTGATGAGTGGTTTTCTTGAGGCTACACAGCTGTTCAGTCCCAATCCCTTGAGTTCCCTTCACATTGCGCGTGTGGAAATGCTCTTACTTTCACTATTAAATATAGCCCTGAGTGCTACTGTTGTTTTTCTTTGATTTGATTTCACCAAACCTTTAAGTGATCGCTGATCACGATCTTTCAGGATTTTTTTCTTGACACATTACTTCCTCGAAGATGATGGGTCCCCATTATCCATCCAGTTTTTAATAATGCGTTGGACAGTTCTTAACCCAATTTTAATATTTTCTGCCAACTCCTTTGATGTTTTCCCTGCTTGATGCCAATGATTTGAACCTTCTCAAATAGACTTACATCTTTTCCATGACCATGTGATGTGTCTTTCAACATGGTTGTTTAAGAAAGATAATTGCCCAAGCCTATTTGATTAGTTAAATCCAGGTGGCAACTATATATATATATATACATGTGTGTGCATATGTTTAGTTGCCTCCCAAAGAGTGGCCATATAGATATATATAG